TAATTTTACGTACTAACGTTTTAACCCTAAAAAGACTTTTAGGATTGAGATGGAATAAAACAATTTGTTGAGGCTAGTTTTTGCAGCCAAAAGTGAATAAACGTGGGAGAGAAGAGATGCGGGGATACAGTGAAATAATTGAGGGTTTTTTTATGCCGCTTGAAAGAAAAATAGAAGGAGGGTCTACCGTGAAATAAGATAGGAAATTAGGGGTCTGTACGAAATTTTCTCAAGATATTAGCCTATGTAGAAGACACACACTAAGTGAAAAGGCCAAACACATATTAATTGGAAGTCTACATTAAGGATTGACCAATCCAGTTGCAGGAAGATAGTAGGATAAACCTTTACCTGGTCTGTTTCAGAGCTGTCTAACCAAAAAGTGTCCTCAGCTTTCTGATCCCCAAACAGTTCACAAAAAATATTTCTTGAGCCACCAGCTAGAGATGCCAAATCCTTTAGCTTTCTCCAATGCAACTTCAAAGATCTGCAAGCTGTCGTATTATGGGAACCCTCCAGCAGGGTGCAACTGCTGAAATGGTTTACCACTGAGTTTATTTTAATTGGCAGCTTTTGGCTTGGGAAAGCTTCTTGTGGATGACATGTGGGGAACACCTACATACACCATAATTTAACTTTATTCATCAAGGGGACAATATAAATGCAACATGCAACATGTAAAACCATTAAATGGGCCTTTTCATTAAATGCACAATTTCAAAAAGGCAGAGCATGCATGTATAACCCTAGGAAAAAGCATAGCATAAAAATCTAAAAGGATAGGAAACATGAAAAGATTCAAGTTTACCACTATTGTAAACCTTTCTTTGATGTTTCCTGCTTGGGTTTAGCCAATAGTCAATGGTGATATTCCGAAAGTTCTCCAATAGTTTCTTCCCATAAGAAGTGGCAACGCTCTCTGGATGAAACTGAAAAAAAAAAAAAAAAACAAATTTATCATGTAGACCAGAAGTAGCCCTCAACGAAACCATACACAATAGCTAAAACACACCTGCACCCCATAGTGAGGTCTGGTGGAGTGCATCACACCCATGAGGACTTTTTTTCCTTGCACCTTTTCTGAGACCTTAAAATACTGATGTCTTCCGTTATTTTCTGGGCTAATAGATGGCGGATCTCCTTTCTTACTCTCAGATATGCCTAGTGGATCAGATTTCTCACTCTCTAGAAAAGGATGAGTACCAGTAGATGTCCATGCTATAGGAATAAGTTCCATAGGAAGAGAATCCAGATCTAACACTAATGAATGATAGCGTACAACCTGATCATAATGTATCAGAATTAACATCTTACCAAAATTCATTGGGAGAACTACTATAGCAATATAGTTGTTGTACATAGTATGCATGCATCTTTATTTTTTGGAAAGATCAGAGTTTAATACCACAAGTGAAAGGTAATGATACAATGTATAAAAATATGTGAGGTAATGATACACATATACATGCATCTTTATTTTTATATATGATGATGAATGATATACATATACATAAGTATGTAAATGTATAAACACATACACGTATCCATACATAAAAACAAAAGAAATACATACATAAAGATATGTGTTGTATGTATGTATGTGTGTATGCATGTACAATAGTTCTTGTACATGGAAGTGTATAAAAGTTATCTTAAGAATATGAATCTAACTGACCTTGAACCCTGAATTTTGGCCAGAGGGAATGCCATCGAATAAATTGCAACCTGAATGTTCAATTTCACTGAAAAAAAAAAAAATTGAACATAAGGTATTGGGGTTTTTTGTGCTAACAAACAAAATGAAAATTACGCTGACATTTTCCCATACCTCAAACGACCATGAACTGGTTCAGGCGCATGCACTATATGAGCACCATGAGCATATCCCAAAGCCTGTAATAACTTAGAATTGTCAAAAGGCAAACAGAAAGCCTTCTGCAAAAAGTCACCCGATCCATTACACATAATCATAAGAAGCATGTTCCCAGTTACTCCAAACTTCCATTTTGTACCCTCTGCTACAGTTATCATGAGATATATGCTCCCAGATCTTATTTCAGGCAAAATTTATCTCGGTGATATTCTTTTAACTTGAGGGTGAATGGCTAATTGTTTGCAGTAATACTTAAATAATTCTCCAATTCTATTGATGTGGCATATTTAATAGAGTAGGCAATGGAGGGAAAAATCATTCCTATTTTTAACATTTTTTAATTTCAAAAGATGTATATTTTAATTGAACCTTTAGAACTTATTTTTTTAAAATTTTTTTAGGATTCTAGTGTTTTTTTTCTAATCTTTATCATACTATTTGCTGGTTACTATTCACAGGTACTATTCACGAGTATTGTGCATAGGTCATTGTTCACAGTGGTAAAACTATCATATTGCAAATTTTGTGTTTATGTTAGGACTTTTTGAGTCATATTAATTAATACATGGATATTTAATGTCTTTAAATATTTAATTATAATATATAAGAGCTGGTATGGCCTTGAGGGGGTCATTCCACGTGATATTTAGAATTGAAAAAGAAAGAAAAACAAAGGCTTTTGGAACCCTAGCTTGGGTAAGGAGGAAACCATAGGTTTCTCCAAGTTATTGCTAGTGTTCGGCTTTTTCCTTGTTGTTTTTGTTGTTTTTCAAAAAAAATTTCATTAGCAGGTCAAGTCATGAAGATAGCCATCCATTGAAAGGAACATCATAAATAGAGAGAAGGCAAAGAAGATGATAACATGGCTTATTAATCATGGCCCTACTAGTGGATCCACCCTACTTGTGGATCCAAGTTATAGTCAATCAGCCAAATTGACTTGTTAAAGCATATCCATTGCAAAATTTTAGTTAGAACAAAAATCCATTTCAATTCAATGACCTACATTACCTCATTAAGGCATAAAACATACATTTCAAATTCAAAATCAAAGAAAGAAATATCATTTAATATAATACAAGGCACACCTGATGGCCTAGACAAACACCCAAGATTGGAATATCTTTGCATTCGAGCAGGATCTTCAAGCAAACTCCTGCACATAGATTATCCATTATTGTGATCACCTCATACATTAATCAATAAAAAACCCAACAAATTTCTGATTGCAATTGTGGATAAGAAACTCAAAACAAGTAGATGAAAAACCAAAACAAATGACAAACAAGAACATTTGCAAATGCTTTAGATGTAATGCAGCTGACAACCTATGTCTGTCATACATGTAGGAGAACCTGGGCCAGGTGATATAACAATATTATCAAAAGCCCTTTCTTGATATAAGCATTGCCAAATGTACTCCCATGTCCACTCATCATTGCGCACCACCACGGGAGGAACTACACAACAGACAAAAACAAAAATAAAAAGTTGCAAATTTTGGTATCATTTCCATAAAGACATAAACATTGCAAGCAAATCAATCTCCAGAAACAATTGCAAATTTTGGCATCATTTCAATAAGGGAGGCATACAATGAGACCATTTACCTTTGTATAGTCACAAATTCACAATTACTCACAACTATCTGATGTGAAATCTAATATAGCTTGGGTGTGTCACAAAGTTCCAGAAAATTTCTTTTGAACTTTAAGCTTGGTCAATGAAATAAATGCAGCCACTCAATTTTACATCCAATGGTCGAGATCAATTGTGACCACCTTGTACTAAAGGTAAATGATCTCATTATATACTGTCCCTTTCATTAAAGACTGAAACATTTCAAGCAAATCAATCTCCAGAAACAACAATTTATGAAGTGGGTCACAGTAGCTAATAATGTTCTCATCACCTTTATTCTTAAAAAATTGTTCCCATCACCTCTTCCAAAGCAGGCCAAATAGATATATAACGCACTATAGAATGAATAATACAGATTTTAGAACAACCACGTAGCTTTGTCGCAGCTGCTAGCTCAATCCAGATACGAATTTTAGTATCATCTAAAATAAGAAAATAAAAGTAATGATATTTGCTAGATGTAGACACATAAATCAGAAAGTTTTTGGAATGACAAAGAAGAATACGAAGTAGACAGGATTTAAGAAAGCGACCTCCAACAAAAACCTTGAAACTCACCATGATCTGAAGTATGAAATAATAAAAATTCATGTCTTAGAGAGAGAAATTACAAGAGAACTCCAAAAAAATTCATTTTTTAGAGAAATAAAATACAAGAGAACTCCAAAAGCATTGCATAAAATTTTAGTGAAAGGAACAATCCAAATTTACAATTCACTAATAAATGAAAAGCCTTACCCCCATTTATAACAGCCAAATACTGGTATATGTTGTATGTGTAACTATCGTAATTGTCAATCAACAAGGTCCTCACGAGTTTGCGAGCTAAAACCGTCTCTTTGCCAAAGTGAGTCTCTCCAAAATAAGCTTCTCCAAGATGCCCAAGCATCAGAGGACTGGGAACCTTTAGCACTCCATCCGCATGCCATACATTACCACGGTCTTGCTTTTTTATACATTGAAGCCTAAACCTACTTTTTGATTTGAATTGGTTATCTTTCAGAAATGAAATGCTCCTTGTCCAAGGACATGAAATATCAGATGTGGAGGCTATCATAAAACTTCTCTCCATCTCCAAAAGAGTAGAAGGCACCTTAGTCCAAAAAATATTCCATAACTCTAACCTCAACCAGCAAAACTACATCAACACCTTGGGAATGCATCCTCAGCCTGAAACGAAAATCGAAATATGCCAGAAAATTAGTGTGGGATTTAAAAATTAAAATACATGTGAAAACTAAATCTAGTGCCCAAGACACCTAACACAGACCAATTGTGGTTCACAAACTTCAAATGTCCATCATAGGTATAGTCTGAAAGTTATCTTGATAGTGTTTTAAGTTTTTAACATTGTGCAAGTTACAAAAATAACAGCATTTACAATGTACTAATAAACCATAAATTGAACAGCACAAGCAACCAAACTAGTTTATGAACAGCTATAACAATGATTAAGGACCGACCAAGTAGCATACAGAAAGTCATAAACATCAACAAACAAAAGATCAGTCATAGAATGCTTAGATATTTCTTGTATCACTTGGGCGCAGATTGCATTGCATCTGGTAATTATCATCAATGCCTTAGAATAAGTTAAAGACTATTTCAGCCAAATAGGATACCAATAAAATCCATTATCGGTTGAATGTAGCAAAATTATAGTGCAATATGTAAAACAAATCATTCTTCTAAAATCCAATACCATGGAGAACAGTTATATTCTACTGTTACTACTGAGCCTGTTATGCATAGATTGACACTGATCACCATGTAACATCTGTGTGCATGCATGTGTAAAACAATTTTGTTAGCCAGCTGGCCAACATAAAAGTATCAGCCAAGGGCCCATATTTAATCTTGATAGGTCTGATGAACAGTGTATATAAACATTTTTTTTTTTTTAATTCCATTTGACCTGGATTGTGGGAACATGAGCGCCTCCACTAGGTGGACCAAATAAGAATAAAAAAATCATACAAAAAAAGGACCAAAATACCACGCCATTGTTGGTGAACTTGTGGGAGTATTTTCATCCATTTTTTGCTTTTCTTTTTTTTTTGGGTACACCAACACCGTGCAGTGCCCCATCACATTCATAAAAAATAAAAAAAAGAAATAGCCAACACAATCTTGCATCCGACCAGATTAAATTTCAGATTAATTTGGGCCGTTGGGCTGATAATGTTCCATCAGCTAGTGGCTGAAAAAAGACACTCGGAGAGAGGAGGGGCGGGGAGTGGGGGGATCTGATAATTTTCCAGTTAACAAAATAATACATATAATGATAAAAATATATAAATTGATGAAAAATTAAGTACCGTGATGAATGAAAACATGGATACAAATAAATAAATCTATACGTTGTTCCCATAAATGTATTCAACGCAAAATATGAAACACAGCTGAATCTAGATTATGGTTTCATCTGTAACAGAAATGGGGGTCCAAAAGACAACAACATCACATTCACATCACCAATCAAAACATGATTTCGAATGGGAAACAAACCTGATATAAGACTCGTCCAGTAACACAGAGAGATAGAGAGAAGGCAGATCAATCAACCAAAATAAAAAGACATAATTTTCCACCAAGAAAAAAAAAAAATTTAGATCCCGGGCTTCTCAATAAAAGGAAGAAAATATACCCATTGCTACCAAAAAAAACCCTATTGGTTATCAGAAAAGATAACTTAGACAAATGCACTAGGAGATTCTGAGTTGCGTGTCTTGCTATTCATTGGTGACAGAGATAGAGATAGAGATAGAGCGATGCGAAAAGAAAGATGGCAGAAAACTCACCATTACCGGGAACGCAGAAGCTCTTAGCTGGTCGGTGCCAAACAAAGGGAGAGAGCGCTAGAGAGAGATGGTTTCATTTTATAGAGAGAGAGATGATTATGGCGGGGGCGGGCTCTGTGGCGGCGGGGAATTTGGATTCCTTACGACTTTCGAAGTTCCAATTTCATGAGCGGGTGGACCGTACTCCAGCGGCAGCATACTGTACGCTTAGAGATCTGCTCGATATAATTTTTTTCCATTTCAAAAAATTATCAAATTATCCATGAGATATACAAAATTGAAGAATATATTTATATATTTGGAAATTATCGTTAATATACCTTAATTTTAACAAAATTGAAAAAAATCACAAACTTTCCAAAATATTATCCATACCCTTTTTTCCAATTTTTACTGGGATAAAAATGTGGTATTCTTTCTACCCTAAATGCATTAATAGAAATATTGTAATACTTTAAAAATATATTACGTTATTGTAATACTTTAATAAGTATCATTTTATATGATATTTAAAATATCATAATAATTTCAATTAGCATTACAGTACTTTAAGTACTGTAAAACTATGGAAGCCAATTACAACATTGTAAGTATTGTAAAAACTACTTAAAACTAAAACCCATTTTACGACCGTAAAAATTAACCTATGTTATATGGCACTTAAAAAAATAGAGAGAAGAAGAGATAAATATTAAAAAAATGAGAGAGAGAAATAAAAGATAAACATAAAAAAATAGAGATTAAAGAGATACATATAATAAAGAAAAAATGTTGCCGTATAACATGGGTTAGTTTTTACAGTGCTAAAATAGGTTTTGACAGGGTGGTGAAATAGCTGGCTGATCCAAAAAAAATAAATAAATTAATATAGGAGGTGAAAGTGTCAGTAATGAAAACATTTCTGAATTCCCCTACGAATACCAATAGATTTAGTGATGTAAGGCTCAGAGTGTAATTGGTTGGGTGAAAGTGGGGTTTGGGTAAGTGGGATGATGTTAAGGAAAAGGGATGAAGGATATTTGGGTTGATGATGGATTATGTGAGTAGGCTTTAGGATTCTTATGGATTGGCATGAATAGACGGAAGGGATGGCAGGTATTGTGTTTTGTGGAATCCATCGTTATCTGGCCATTGGCACTTTACATGTATGCATAATACCTCTTGCCTCCTACTCCTATCTTACTTGGACTGGATCCAATCCTAATCTTGATTAAAGCTTCAAACACATTAGGAACCTAAATCAACTTACATAAGGAAACCTAAACAACTAAGACAAGGGACCTAGGCAACTGAGACTCTTCATAGAACCCAAGAACTGATCTGAATGTAACTTAGAACTACTGACTACAACTTAGCCCTTATTATCCCTAGAAAATTTGAAAATTTTACGCCATCTCTGCATCATTTAGGTTTTTATTAGCCCATTATGAGGTTGGGGTAGTGAGTGTTAGAGGACAAGGATTGGAGGCCGTAGCTAATGTTTAGATGTCTTAGCCCATGCTGCTCAACAAATAAACATTATGAGGTTACACAACACATAGATATATGTAGAACACATGACATGTTCGTATTGCGGGTCTTTCCCTCCCTTTTATTTTTATCTTTTTGTTATGTATTCTTTTCCCTTTTAACTGGAGTTCCTACAAAGTATCCCTTTAATACCCACCAACCAACTTGATGGCTCAGTGAAGTAAGTGAGACCCCCAATCTTCATTTCTCAGAATCAAGCTTCAGGCTGTGGATGCAGCATCATTGACTGAAATTTATCTATACTAGCTTTCCAGGGGATTGTATTTGTTTAACATGCATATATGGTGGTGTTATGAAGCATGATTCTTTCGAGATAATTTGCTGAAATTTTTCAGTGATATAAAAGATTATGCAGTTTATATGTTAGGTACAGGACAGACATGCCAAATGTGTCATTTTCTGAGAAACTACTGATATCAAGAGGAAGTTATTAATGAAATTCCAAGGATTGGCCCAAGTAGTTACATATGTGGCCATTCAATCAAATGACTTGTCTCCACTATAAAGCATCTTTATTGCTATCATGGCTAACTTTGATTTGATAAAATGGAGTGCTCGGTCGAGCACATTGATCAATTGGAATTTGGAGGACACTTGTATTTGGGAACATGAGGTTAGGCATTTAAACCCATGTCATGAAGGAAAGGGGGTGTTGCATACTGTTTTATGGAGCAGCAGGTCTGTAACTAGATGCATGGGAGTTCACTTTGAAGGCACAGTTTCTTTTAGGACTTGATTGGTTCCTTTGGAAATGGATATCCTGGAGACCCGTTTCCATGGAAATCGATCGTAAATGCTCTTTGGATGTCCTCCCCAGCAAGGAGTGTCATTTCAGCATTGAGACTGATTTCCACGTTGTAAGCCTTTTTTGTGTAAATGCCAATTCCACCGATATAGGTTGAATTGATATTCCGAGAAATTGAAAGAGAGCCGCAGGCCTCAAAAACTTGCGGAGCAATGGAATGGTATTCCAGTGGGTGTCCTCTCTCGAGGATCAGGGGTAGTAGCTTGGATTCGTCTTCGCCTTACTCGCCTTGTTCCCTCACTCGCTGCAGCTTAGGGCTCAGAAAGTAGAAGCAACCGCCTTCTAGTCTTCCTCATTTGAGGCGAGGAACTTGAAGGAGGCTCTCAAGGAAGTACGATCAGTGATTAGGGTCTCTGTGAAGCAATAAGCTATAACAACAAAACAAAAACAAAGGAACAAGGAACCTTTTTACTAGAAAGCAACTGATGGTCATTGAACGTGTCGAGCGAAGCCCACCCTTCGGGTGGGCGGAGCTTGTCCATAGAGAAATGAAAGAGGGTGCTTCAGTAGAATGGAAAGAAGGGGAAATTCAGATCCTAGGAGACTACGAGAGCAATGTAGTAGGTTCAGGTCATCCTGAAAAAAGAACCTTAAACCCTAAGGTTGTAATAATTATAATTAATATATTTATCATCAACATCATAGCTTTTTTTTAATTAATTGGGATCGGCTATAATTAATATATGTATCTAAATAATAAATAAGATATATTATTTTAATTAATATATTGTTATTATAATCAGTTATATATTACTAATATTAGTAATTTGTTTATTATAATAGATATCTAATATAATAATATAGAACTAATATATATTATATACAAGAAGTAGTATATTTAATATAAAATAATATATGTAATATCATATTATTATACTCTATAATGCTTGGGAGACATGTTTTCCAGCAATCCAAATAGTGGACAAGCATCTTTCAAGTTTATTACTAGGTGCTATACAAGCAGCAAACACCTATATTCTAGGAGATGCCAATTTCAGGATACACTAGGAGAGGCATCTCCCTAGGATACCCATTTCCAAGGAACCAAATGGGGCATAAGGGTTTTAGGGAAGTTATTTGCAAGTGATTGATTGCTCCTAATAAGATAGCAATTTTTTTTTTAGAATTGTTGACCATTGTATTGATGGAGAGAAGAGAGGTGCAAGGTGATATGCAGGGAGGCCTTAGAGCCGAGGTCCTTGGTAAAAAAGAATGGGTCTTACGACCATATACCAAAAAAATCAAAATGGGGTTATAGACTCCCCTTACACTGTATGCAGTTTATATATAAGACGACAGAAGAAGAGGGGGAAGAGAGGGAGAAAGAGGAGAGAGAGAGGGTGGCTGAAACCCCGTAGAGGTTCTAATAAGATAGCAATTACGACCCAAGAAGTGATAAGTACTAAGGCCTTCCGAAATGTTATCCTACTTCCACACTGGATAGATATATCCCTTTTAGTGTGTCGATGGAACATGGTAGAACATTCATATTACCTCCCCCCCCCCCCTGATAAAAATAAAACTTAAGAAGGAATTATTTTGATTCAATCATCTCTTTCTCGATTAAATCATCTCATTCATAATATGCACTGACCTGTTATGGTTTTTATTCTGAAGCACTGAAAATTTGAAGTTTGCTAGGGGCATTAATCCAGGTTCTATGAATTTGCCGAGTTTCCAACTCCTCGGGTCTGGGTCATGATGACTTGTTGATAACACATTAACTTGTTTTCATGATTTGTAGAGGTGTTTCGAGTTATATTGCTTTTTGGACTCGCTTTTTGAGTCGGTGGAATATATGGAGAAGTGCTTAAAAAATATGGTAAAGTTAGTATAAAAAGGTAAAGATATAAGAAAATGTTATGAATGGAAAATGTTACAATTGATTTGAATTTTTCGAGCATTAATTTTCCAACGTCTTGGCATGATGTTCCTACATTTTCATTTTTATAAACCTTTTATATTTGAAAAGAAATTGACACTAACTACGTAGTTTCAAAACTAGTCTTCATTAGATTTCTTCAGATCTTCATTTTTTTTATGAGGAAATAGCTCCCCTTTCCTTTTATCCAAACGTGCCTCAGAAAGTTGCTTTAGTTCTTTCGAAAAGGCTTTTTCTTTTAGTGTTTACCAGAAACAGAACATGTGGGAAAACTAATTCACCTTTTCTTGTTGGTTTTAATTTTTTTTTGTCTTCACCCCCTTTCATGCTAGGTGTGTACTCTAGAAAGATCATCCTTTTCTTGTTTGAGCTTTTGATTTCATGAAATTTTAAATCAAATTGCTCTGTGTCGTTTCTTTAGTTATGGTTTCCTTTTCACTTTACTATGCTAAAAATGCTTTAAATGAAGTTTTTGAACTTGCTTGTGGGTCACTCGGCCTGCTCTGAAGCGACTTGCTCGAGTTTGCGTTTAACTGATGAAAAAGCACAAAACCCTTCCCAAAAACAAGGAAAACGTTAGTGAAAAGTTGCTAAATACGGGAAAAAAAAAAGAAGAAAATACAAACGGTGGGAAAAGTTATAAAAGATTATAGAACAAAAATGTTTTTTTGCATGTTAAAAAATAAATTGAATAGAATTTTTTTTTTTAAAAAAAAAGGAAATATAGAGAAAGCTAGAAAAAATCATTAAAACTCACAAAACCATATAAGTATGGTTGAGGTTTCTATAAGGTTGCAACCTCAAACAATCCAATTAAGCCGCACCTTAAAATTTTATCATAACATGTAATTTTGTTATAAACAATTCTTAGTATTATCTTAAAATCTATTTTCATACCTAATTAAAAAAATTTAAATTTCAAAAATGGTTAAAATAAAGTAGATCCATAAATATATAAAAATGGACGGTCTAGAAAATGTGTTGCAAAATGCACTGTTTCTGGGACTCAAAAACTTTTTTTTTTTTCATATTCATACATCTCAATGTTGAGATGATCGATAAGAGGGTGTTTTCAACATTAAAACAACATTTCGGATAGATTTTGAGGTGCATCTTTACAGGGAAAAGCTCCATAAAGTTTATATTTCGGATAGATATATGTAGAACACATGTTGGCTATGCCTATTAATATAATTGAAAATAATATTTTGGATCAAGGCATGCATCTTTAAACATGATTTCCATTTTGTATTGATTTAAGTCATGCACACAGATGCTCTTAGTACTGCAGTGAAAATGCAAATGCACAAAAATAAGCATGTTATACACAAATAAATGGACAATATCTACAAAATTCACCATCTTTTTCTTGGCAGTTTGCAGAAACCATACAAATCTTATAAGTTATAAGTTATAACTATACAGATGCTTCTCGTATCATTTATCCATTTGTTATTGGACTTGATTGGGTTGCTGCAGCGCTGCTATCCCTCTCTCTGTTGGTAAATATATGATCAAGTGTACCTAGTTGTCTTCTTTTTTCTTAATGTTTTTACTTTTACTATCCAGGTCTGCTCTATCAAATGGAAATCAGCTGAAGCCTTCATTAGTCGATACCACTCCACAAGCTGAACGCAAATCAACATCTCCTTATGGGCATCACAATTGATGCATGGTATAGTGGAACCAAGTCTCCACCTTTGGCTGCTGGATCCCAAGCTTCCAAAAGGACCAGATCACCTTCTAATCCTCATGAGGATGGTTACTTCATGCTCTTCTCATTCTGCTAGCAATGAGATGGAAAGTTAAGTTTTCTAATGGGAACTTTTCTCCTAATAATTATTTATAGTTTGCTGAACTTTTTGAACTGCTGCCAATTCAATAAAATTTATTTTCAACTGCTTTCTTGAGTGCAGGGAACTGCAAACAAAAGCTAGGCGGCTTGATCGTTTTAAAGATGAAATAAAAGAGAACATAGAATATAGTCCTGATTTTTCAACCTCTAGAACTATGGGAAATAAAGCTCTATCAAATCCAAGAGAGAAATCTAGGCCAATTGCAGGGACTATTTCCCCCTTATCTGATCCGGGGCCCTTACAGGGTGGCTGGGCTTCGTCCTGATATGTGTCCAGGTATGTTATTTTCTGTGTGTGTGTGCACGTTGTGCGTGCTTGCTATACATACCTCATTTCTGATCGGTGAACTACTGTTATATCATTGATTTAGTTATAATTGCAAATGGGTATGGTTCCAAACTTATCACTGAATTAACCTTAGTTTTCGTAAACCGGCAAATTCGAGGTATGATGGTGGAGTAGGGTGAAATGGTCAGTGACCATCTCTCATCCACTTTCTCCCAACTAGGGGTAAATGGCATTAATGTCAAGGTAGTTTTATCATTTAGAGAAAAGTCTGTTTCTCCATTTCCCCAATAGAATTCTTAGTATGTTGTAATTTCTTTAACTTCCCATAATTTGTTATGCCTTCTCGTCTCTCGGTTTGAGTAGCTTGAAATCTTCTCTTTTTTGTTCATGTGTTTTTTTCGTAAGTTTTATTTTCTGGAAAAGCTTGGGTAGTGTTTTCACATACAGGAAGTCTGAGATTATAGATATTTGCCATTTGGGAAAGAATCAGGTAGTTTTGATCCTTTGAGTAAAGATGAAAGGGGAGTTTCTCCATTTCACCAGAGCTTTTGAAAATCTCCAGAATTCTTTTGAAATCATTTTGTAATTTTTTAATGTCTTGTCTTTGTTATGCCTTCTTGCCTTCATAGCCTGAGTAACTTGAAATGCGCATCTTCTCTTCCACTGCCTGCTTTTCTTTATTGGTTGCAGTAGAATGCTTAGCAAGTTGGAAGAGTACACATAGTTCAATGCAACATAGCATGCACTACTTGGAAGGCGTATCCACCATCCATCCTTGATGATGTATGGTGGACATTAGCTCCACCCATGTGTTTTCCCAATGGGTTCCATTATGGCTAAACTTGAGCTTCCATTCGACATGTGTGATGTAGAGTCACTTTGGAGTATTGTAGACCATACTTCATTCATTGTCATATAATTCCTTTACTACTATGTTATTGTTATTTGGTTTTTCTTGGAATGTATTCTGTTTGATAATTTTGCCTTATGTGGTGGTTTCTTTCCTCTTTTATCAGAACCCGAAAGGGAAGAGCGTGAGCACAAAGGTGATCTGGACAAGTATGAACATCTCAACGGAGATAGAAACCAAACATCCAAATTTTTGGCTGTGAAAAAGGTCTGCTTTTGACCAACTTGCAGGATTTTAAACTATGATCTGTTGGACTATGAAAAACCATTGTCAGTTGTTGTCATCTTTTTCCAGTGAAAATGATTGGCAGATGTAGAGAGTGGGACTCAACAATAGGGCCCTGTGATGTTCTGATGTTCCCATGCTCTCGAATACTGTCCATCGTTTTAGTATACTTTCATTTGATTAATGTTGAATGGAAAACATCATTAATATCTTTTTCCTGGTAAGTTCAGTATAATAGGACAGCCGACAGAGAAGCTCACTTGATACGGCCCATGCCAGTCTTGCAGAAGACTGTAAATTATCTTCTAAATTTGCATGAATCAGCCTTATGATGACCAATTGTTGGCCTGTATAACTTCTTGTGGGATAGGATGAGAGCAATCCGAATGGACCTAAGGAAGCAACATATCTTCAACCGAGATGCACTATTAATGCAGGAACAAAAGGTCTCTTTCTCTCTGCCTATCTCTCTCTCTCTCTCTCTCCTCCCCCAACCCCCTAATAAAAAAAAAAGGTTTCTGCCTTTACCAGATTACTATTGTTTATCAATGTGAGACATGATGACCATAGTTTATAGTGATGCATTTCATATATTGGCCACAACAATTCAACAATTTTATGCCCGCTTGTGCCAGATAAGGTTTCATATTATAGCCATGCATGAGCTGTGTGAGTACACAGAGGGAGAGGGATTCTCCAAGGGCTTTGAAGCACATCTCAATATTGAACAAATGAACAAGACATCGGTGGAGCTGTTTCAAATGTATGATGACCATAGAAAGAATAAAAATAGTGTGCCTACTGAGGAGTTCAGGGGCTATTATGCTCTTCTTAGCTAGACAAGCACACAGGCTACAATGTAATTTATCTTCGGAAAGTACACGATAATGCAGTATGGTGTATGGTTCTCCTTAGGCTTTTTTGTCTGTTGTCCAGACAGTTTATGGCTTTGTTCTATTTTTATCATACTATGCTCAATTATGGTATATTTTTCTGGAGTAATTGTAAGATTCGTACTTGAATATTAGTTTGATGGTTTTATGTTGTCATGTTGGTATCTTTGTTAGGTGGAGCCTGCAGAACTCTCCCTTGATCTAGCAAAGATGACTCCTGAAATAAGAAATTTGCCTGAAGTCTTGTTTGCTCGTGCTGTTGCAAGGTCTTCTTCTTTTATTTCTTCATTGTTGAAGATATTTTGGGAAGGTTGATGCATTTTAGCTATATGGTTTCAGAGCTTGCTGGATGGGTAACTTTATCGCCTTTTTCCGACTTGCCAGAAAGACAGCTTACTTGCATGCTTGATGCATGCTCACTTTGCCAAGGTATATTATATTCTTCCAAATTACTTTGCATAGATGAATGAGTAATATGCTCATGAGTCAATATATATGTACATCGTGTGATGCATAATTATGCTTGGGTTTGCGAATAGGAGTCTTCATTTCCATAATTCCTAGGTATCACTATGATCAGCCTGCTTTCACTGTAAAACAGAAATTGATGAAATCGGAAAACTTCATTTTAATCGTCTGATAAAAGATTTGCCCATGCATTTTGTAAGCAAAGGCTTACTCATTTGTATATTTTCTACTTCACAATTGAAATCTTGAAGTCTTAGTCTATTTTTGAGCCCGAGTTTAAAATAAATTATCAAACAATATTTCAACAACTGGGTTCCTTTGAGCAAAAAACTGTTTCCTCAGTAATGGCCAGCCTATTACCCTTGAAGAAAATTTTCTTGGAAACATTCCAATCAGGAGTACAAGATGTAAAGGCTGCAATTATTTTGAATATGAAATGATAGGCATGCTATTCTCTCCCTTCTCCTTACATATTCGGGTAGCATGAACCCCTTTTTTTTATCCCTGACAAATCCCTTGAGCAACACTTTCATTCCCATGAAATTAGAGGATCATCAGCATGGAATGATAGGTTTCTGACTGATGAAATAGTGCAATGCGGAAGAAGTTTCTATGATTTGTATCGAAGAGACAGTTATTAAAAACTGGTCCACATAGAAGAAACAAACCACCGTAACTGTTATATCCCCATTCATATAATTCCCATTGTGATCCACAAAAAAATTGAAATAGATGATTGGGACCATCTCAAGCTTCGACCTTCAGTAGAAGAAAAGATTCTTAATGAAGATTGGCAGGGTGATAATGAGGTTGATGAGGAGGTAGGCTAGTCCCAACCTCCTATTTTTTATGAGTATGATGTCTAAGGAGAAAATGCTGAAAAGTTAAGCTCTAGTGCTGGAGATTGTTCAACTTATTTCTCTTTGGCAAGAATTTCTGAATCTCGCGAATTTTATAATTCTAATTGCCCCAGACATTCTTCAACCTATGCTTCTGATTTTACTTCTTCATTGAACTTTTCAGAAATTCCCAAAAATTCAAATTATAATCTTCTTCTTCCTAGGCATGGAAGTGAGTCCCTCCAATTGTAGTCTTATCTGGGCTTTTGTTTGTTTATTGAAATTGACTGAGTCCTTGCATTGCCTATTCTTTTTTTACTCTCAGGGGGAAGATATTGAAAGCCTTTTGCAGTATCATGGGTCTTTAATTAAACACTTTGAAGATGCCTACATGGTGAAGGAAGGCCCCTTTCTTAATGCTGACAGGGATTATGTGACCAAGTGCTCACGGCTTGTTCACCTTAAAAAGTCAGCCAAAGTTGTTGATGATGTTGTTTCTAATAAGGTTATAGAGCTAGAAAGGACTTGCCCTTGTTATTTATTTTATATATATTTTTTCAGAAGTGTACCTCTTTAATTTTAATTTTTTTGCATTATTCATTTCCTCCTATAGGGTTCTGTGGTCCAGTTTTACCTTTGCTCAAGTCTGATGGGGAACTTTTCTTGATTATATATCTTTTACAGCAGGTGACACACCTGCAAGTTGAGAAAAGGACAGGCAATGTCATGGAGAAGCCTCACAAGAAAATTGGACATTTGATAAAATCTAAATGGGTTGATTCAGCGGATGAAGGAATGCATTATAGTGATGCTGGCATTTTTTACAAAGACAATCAGCATGACTCAATGTTTAAAGCACCATTACTGGTTAATAGTTCACCATTGCCAATCAATAGTGAATTCATAGCCAATACATATATGGTGGAGTCACCCCAGTTTGCCTCAGATCAAGATGGTTCTCAGCTTGTGGCCATGGAAATTACAAATGAGTGCCAATTAACTGAAGATGATAACCTAATGGATCAGTCAGTGGGACATATGTATCTCCCTGAAGTAGATGAGGCTCCAGAGTTTGGCACTTCAAAGGTCTTGGAAATCAACAATACCAATGAAGAACCAGTAAGGTCAATGGCATTGATCGAGCATGTTGACAATGAGGTTGAAATGGTTAATCAGAAAGATGAAGCTGACAATGCAAGACTAAAACTTATCATAAGGTTCTGAACTTTGTGAATCTACTTTATGCATTAGTTTCTTTCAGTGATCTGGGTGTCTGGTGAATAAAGGACTGGTGAATAAAGGACAGTTATCATGTGCCTTCCTGAAATAAAAAATATAGAAGGGTGACTGTGATTCTGTATAAAAGAAACACTAATTTAATCTGAAGTTTGCTCACTGTTATTATAGCTGACCCACTTTCTTTGGTTTTCACGTCCAGATTATGGAAACAGTGTTCTAAAAAGCGTAGAGGCCTGAGAGCAGCATCAGTTGATGTCAAATGCTGCGCTGAGTTCCCTGTCATTGGGACCACCAATTCGACCAAATAAATTGGTACTTGGTTTTTCTTTTTCTCTTTTATCTTTTACGTAACCGATGAGGTGCTTGTTAATCATCAGAGGAAGAAAAGCATTAACGTGCTTATGCTATTTCACCTTCTTTTGCTTCAATATTTTCCGGTCTTGTATTTTCTGGGAGCAGTTTTAACATTGTGGTATTTTTTGAATCTCCGTCTTATTTTTCAATTTCCTTTGCTTCAGTGTTTATAGGTTTATGCACTTCTCGATTTTTTCTTTATACCCATAAACTTTGGGTTTTCCAACCGACTGGCCTAGATCGTCAAACATAATTCGGTGTCAACAAACATCATTTCTTTAATATGGTCTCCGAGAGACCACACTCTTACTGAGTTTATGTTTCACTCTAATAAATGTTTTTATTACACATTCATAAAGGCCAGATAAACCCAACACCTATATGTTTTTTTTGAACCTTTCCATTTAAGATTAAAAGGAGAGTGAGAAGCATGCAGGTCATTCTTAATGAACAGAAAATAAAAGTTTATCTCCTTCCAATTTTCACAACTTTCTTAATGAACAACATAAGGACATCTTTCAAATAAGTAGCCTAATGAAGTTTGTAAGAATTGTCAATGATAATTGAAGAAGTAAAAAAATTTAAAGAATTCCCAATGTTTACCAAGAACAAAAGAATCTACTAATAACATGATGTCAACCCACCAAAGAATAAATGAATCTCAGGACATCATAAGAATAAATTCTTGTTTTTCTTGTGTTACGGTACAAGCTGTGTTATGTTTTTAGAATTTGTACCATATAAGTTGTACAACAATATGTTTTTAGACCATTACGGTACTCCAAGTACCATAATACTTGTTCAAATTATTATGATACTCTAAGTATCGTAAATCAATTATTACGGTACTATGAGTATTATTATTATTCTATAATGGCATTACTATTCTATAATGGCATTACGGTAGAAAGACTACCGTAAAAGGTATTTTCATCTAAAAAATCATAAAAATGAGGCAAAAGGGTGTGGAGAGGTTTTGAAAAATTGGAGTTTTTTTTTCGATTTTATAAAAATATGGGTATATTAGCGATAATTTCTTTATATATTTTGGTTTAAGTTCTTAATACTTTTTAAAAACTAGTAAAATTTTCATGCAATTATGTGCACTTTAATTCTAGATTTTTTTTTTGGGTAATTCAGTAGGGAAGACAAGCCCCCACCCATTTTTTCAATGGATTGGGGAGTTACATTTTGAAGGTAGTAATTGGGCAGTAAGAATGAATACCACGATGTGGCAACTGGATGTGGGGATGCTACCACCATGATCCCAACCCCTTTCTTATATTTTCTTGAGTTAAGAGTTGGAATCGTTGCACATAGATCAAATATTAAATACTTCATCTCGAATAAGTATTGTGATATATTCCCCTTCTATTTGTGATTCTAGTTCCATTTTCGAATCACCATGTGAAAATAGGATATTTATAGTAAAATTCTATTGTATTTTAGGATTTCAAATATATTATTTCATATTTTACACTCACTTTTTGAAAGCGTGTAGTGTATTTTAATTAACAAAAAATTTATTTAAGTTTGACACCTTAAAATATAAAATGAAAGTGCACCTCTAAAATCTTTTGGAAAAGTTTGTTTTGATGCTGAAAAAATGTCTACTTGATCATTTCAACAAGGATATATATATATATATAGAAAAAATGAGATTTCAGGTCTTAAAAATAGTACATCTTACAACACATTATCTAAATCGGTCCATTTTCAAGACCTTTCATACATTTATAAATCTGCTTGTTTTGAACTAATTTTAGAGTTAAAAACTTTATAATTAGAGATAATAATAGATTATTGCACCATCCTAATAAATTTTTAGAGCGAAATTGTATCTCACAAAGTTTGAAGGTATACCTTACTTTGATTGTTTAAGGTTACAACCTTATGCAAACCACACCCTTTTAATTTTATAATTAGAGATAATAATAAATTCTTGCACTTAAAAATAAATGGGATTTAAGTGTAACTATTTTTAAATACAAAAAATAAAGCATGAATTTTTATAAATTTCCCTAGGAGAATTTAGAAAAGAAAAAATGATTGTCATATTCCAAAATCTTGGACGGTTTGCACATATAAAGTGAGTACTGAGATTTTTTTTTTTTTTGAGGTGGGTCATGGGAAGTTACAAGTACTTTTAGCACTCTTAGATGGGGTTTTGCACAAGACATCGCGAAGCAGATAATTTTTTGCTTTATTATTAAATTATTATTATCATCCGAGCCTCTTCCCAACTACTTAAAGTCTGCTTGTTTTATTTTAGATGAAACTCAAAAAATTCCCAGAAAAACAGAATTGCACACATGCTATTTTCAGCAAAACTCACACCAAAATTCTGGATATGAGAGGAGAAAAACTTGAATAACTTAATGGAATTGCATGATTTACCCAGTAATCCCCACATTTCAGAAGGTCAGATCTATGTGCGTAGCTTTTAATTTCTGATCCAAAGTTAAGAAATAAAACAGAAAAAACATGTCAATTCAGTAGTTAATTTGCCCAAATGCCTATATGGATTATTTTGCTCCTGTGGGATTATAGTACATTATAATATCTGGTTATCCACTCAAAACATCAACTCTTTTTCATTTTTTCTTGGGTAGTTCAACAAAGTAGTAGTCCCCCACATATAGTTATTGCCACTGCCACCTTAATCACCTAACCTTGAGCCCACTCCAATCCAAAACCAAAGTTTTGCTTTTATGAATATGTGTGTTTTGTTTTGGGGGGATATTAAGTGGCTAGCTGTCCAATCAATATGGAGCCATTCTTCAGTATAATGTTTTTTGGGTAAGCAATGGTAAATAAAGGCTCCTATCCATCTTTTAAATGATTCGGTTTTCAAAGGTGTCAATAGGATTAGAAAGCACGATATGCAACTAAGGTAATTTAGTTGGAATTACTAATTGTTAAAAAACTGTTGATTATATGATTTAATAAAATTTTGAACACGTTTTCAACTGGTTTTTGGAGGGCCAGTTTTGAGGATGGCATGGTTGAAGCCATAGCCAGAAATGGGAGCACTACATAAGAAGAAGCATTGAAGTGGGGGTTACTTTGATATTTGATGATTGATTGTTTTTGTTAGGCCACGACGGACCATTGTGCGTGCTTCCTTTCTTTTTCTTTGTTATTTATGCCCTTGACCTTCACTATATTTTGGGGAATCATTTTTTATTCTGTTGGATATATTTTTTAATATTTTCCTCTCTTTTAATTTTGTCCTGTGGTGCTTGAAATAAAAGATGGCCGATGCTTCTTTTGAATCTCAAAAGAGCAATTTGTGTGTTGCTTTTGTTCTGTGCATAATGACTCTCATTCACAACATTTGGTTAGAGAGAATTTGGTGTCTGATGGATCTACCTCTATAGCATAACCCTACATATTATGTCAAAAGGGAATTTAATTTTTTAAAAGTATTTATGAATAATAACATACCAAATTAATAAGTTTTAAGGAAAATTGTTTCATGCATTCATCTTAAAAGCTTGATGCAAGTAGGTGTTCCATTTAAAAACAATGGAAATTAAGGGTCATAATTTTCTTTTATTAGAATTATTACTATTATTAATTTTTAAAATTTATTTATTTTTTCATATTCATGATCTCCATGATATAGATTACAACAAGTCCTTAAAAATTAAGTCTTAAAATCCATCTCAAAAATAGATTTATTAAGAGGCCCGCATTTCTACATATGCGGGCTTGAAAATCGGGTCCAATTTTTAATGTAATTATTGAGGAGTTTTATTCCAGAGCTTGGTGGATTGTGAAGCCTAGGGAGGAGTGAGGTCCCCCGATGGAGAGGGCTGTTTCCATTGGTACTCTAAAATCTTTATTGAAATGTTTAATATTATTGCTCGTGGGTTATTTATACTCTCACAAACATGCTTTACTTCAACTTCGATCATCGGCGTCAAGTGTAGTGTGAGGGAAAAATATGTATATCCCCCCTCTTAAAATTATTATCTCATCGTCCTATAAAATCCTCCCAGTTAAACAAAAAACACAACACTTAAATCATTTTCCTTTATCCAAAGTATACATTTAACCTTCTTCTTTTTCTTCTTTTTCTATTAATCTCATTATAAAAATCGGGACTCTTTTAACTTGTTTGTGTAGTTCATGACATGAGAGAGATAAGTATTCAAAGACGTTGCTAGAGAGCGATGGAGGGAGGAAGCAAGAGAAAGAGAACGCTAGTTTTTCCAGGATTTTTATAATAGGGTGATTAAGGAAAAAAATAATGGTAAATTTTGTAATTTGACAGTTAAAAAACAAGAGTTAAGGAGTGAGTTAATTATCTTTTTTTTTTTTTTGTTCGATTTGAGGGTTTTCATGAGATATTTATAGAACTAGAGGATTATTTGAGATTATAATTTTAGAGAGGGAGGTTTGTTCTTTTTCCGACAAGATAATGGCTCGGGATTGAACAAGAGACCGTCCAATTTTTGAAGCCGCGTCTAAGTGGCAACAAAAAAAACTTAAAACTTGAAACTCAATTGTTTTATTTTGAAAATAGTCATCTAGTAATTCGTGGTTGCCAAATTTCTGAACTGAAAAAGTCTCTCAAGTGGTTTTGTAATTGAGAGAATAGATGCATACCATGCTCCTATAGGAGCATCGTATATATAAATTTAAGCTGAGATCTCTGAAGCGTTTAAAGCATGCTCCAAAAGAGCAGATTGTGCATTAATTCCCTTCGGAAAAAGAGATATATTGGAAGGATTTTTTCTTAGTTTTTGGGATCCAACTAAAATTGACTAAATGATCCTTTTAAATTTGTAAATATATATTTTGAGTTCTTCAGCACCTAGCACCTGGATCTTACGAAATTGAATGTCCATTGCTCACTCTCGGGAAAAGTGCATAGAATATACGATTTCAACATGTTATTTAACATCTTGGATCTTGAGTGCTATTTGGACAGAGGCTCTAAACAATCAAAGTAAAACACATTTTTAAATAGTGTCGAGAAATATGGTTTTAATACAAGAAATCTTTGAGATAACTTAAACTGTAGTTTTATTTTTAATTATAAAATTTAAAGCTTAAAAAATAGCATAGATCGAGCGGATATATGAAAATTTGAAAACCTTGAAAAATGATCGTCCAAAGCTTTTGAGGATATTTGAGCATCAAAACAACCTCTTCTATTGAATTTTTTGAGGTAGCTCTAATTTGATTGTCAAGAGCCTAAGCTCTACTAAACTCTTTCCTACAAATATTCCTTTGATATCTACCCAAGGGAGCAAATGAGCAAATGGACAGTTTGCACAAGCGGAAGTGGGAGCAACACATGATATTGGCATCTCTCTATATTACATGTTATCGATGGGCAAACTTTATATGCTTCTATTGCCGCATAAAACTTATATACTTTCCCTTGTCCAACAGTACATTTTGAATGGAAGGTTAAGATTGCTCCAATCACAATGTCACTTCTCTACACTATTTTATTTTTAATTTTTTTAGCATCTCTATAAATTACGTGTTATAGAAGGGCAAGCTTTATATGCTTCCCCTGCAGCATAAAACTTATATACTTCCCCTTATCCAACCGTCCATTTTGAATAGAGGGTTAAGATTGCCCCAATCACAATGTCATGTATGTACACTATTTTATTTTTAATTTTTATAGCATCTCTATAAATTACGTGTTATAGAAGGGCAAGCTTTATATGCTTCCCCTACCGCATAAAACTTATATACTTCCCCTTATCCAACCGTCCGTTTTGAATAGAAGGCTAAGATTGCCCCAATCGCAATGTCACGTCTCTAAACTATTTTATTTTTAATTTTTTTTATGTAGACTATTTTAACACAAATTTTTGGACGTCCAATCCTCTATTAAACTCGCACTAGCAAAATATATTTCAATAAAATACAATGAACCAAATACCCCTAAAAGTTTAAAGGCGTATTTTGATATTATATTTTATCGAAAAATTAGTTTTAATATTTTTTATAGGTGCGCCCCAATGAGATGATGGAACATACCAAATTTCATATTCATACAATATTCATCAAAATAAAAATACTTTGAGACATCAGATCTAAGATCAAACGGTGAGTGGCTCTCTTGATCAAACTTGGACGGTTGGATGATAGGGGAAGCATAGATCTTCTCTGTTATAGAAGAAGTATAGAAACCTTTCCCTTTATAAAAATTCTTCTGAAAATATTGATTTTAAGTTCATAACCCTATTTTATTTATTAATTTTTCCATATTGCCCCTACTTGACTATGAATATCTAAAGTTAGATATTTTTGTACTAGTAATCTTACTTCAAACTTTAAAGGTCAAAGTTGATGGTTAGAACAAAATCCAACAAAATAAACTTTCAATAAAATATCTTACAAACCCAACTCCAGACCTTAAAGGTTCAGGATATTTTGAACAATTTATGATCAATAAAAGATACAATTTCAGATACTCAAGGTCCGATGTAGGTACAATATGGACAAGAAATAAAGGGGAAATGGATATGAATGTAAAATCAAACTTTTTGAAAGAGTTCTTCACATAATGGTAATTTGGAGGCCCACTACCATAAATTTCTTTGATATTAGGATGCTTTTATTTTTCTAAATAATCAAGTACTCCCTTTCTAAATTGTCAGCAAGGCTACCAAGTTTGTTCGGCTCCTTGACAAAATCGTTGGTCTTAATAAAAAATGTCGAGTCTTGATCTATTGAGCAAGGCTCCCTGAAAAATGATAGGGCACTTTTTAAAACATTGGTCTGGAGATTGAAATTTCAAAGGCAGAGGTCCTGGACTTTTAAGGCAACATTATGTGCTTTAGATCATAAAACAGCCATTACTATGTATGATTAAATAGAGGAATCTTTCGATAGTTGGGTAACATTAATTCATCTTGAGATGCGGCCCACTGCTCATACCAGTTGTGGGCCATCCCATCTATTCACCTTCAGGTGGGTACTGTAGCAGTCCGCTTCGGCAGACAAAAGTGTTCTTTTTTTTTTTTCATTTTCTTTTCCATTGATAGCGGTGAAAGAGGGGTTTTGTTTTTTTCTTGTCTTTTTTTTTTTTCCTTTTTTTTTGGTAATTCAATGGGTTGACAAGCCTCTACCCGTTTTTTAAATTGTTAGTAGTTTTTGATGAAAATTAAAGCTTAGACCTTAGCTGGGGCACAAGTAGTACCCACCACAGCCCCAACAACATTATCGTTTTTTTCTTGCCTTGATCAGCAATACATGTAACATTTTGTTTTTTTTTGTTTTTTCTTACGTTAGTGGTGAGAATGGAGAGTGGGACGTTATGTGGAAGCATCCACCCCGCTAACCACTTATCCCAACCACATTCCCTCTTGTGTTGTGTGGCAGTATGCTTTGGGCTCGATAATTTTGACCGGGCCCAAAGTTCTAAAATGATTTTTCTCAAATTTTGTGACACACCACAAGTGGCCAAATATTTCATCGGACATTTTATGGGTGTTTTAAATGGCCTCATATTATACAATCCCTTCTTGTAAATAATTGTTCAATAAGGTGAGTGTACACTTGGAACAACACAAACGAAAAAACAAAAAACAGATAGGTAGAGAGCAATACAAGGAAATGAAGAGTTTTTGAAAAAAGAGTGCATACAGTGAAACCAGCACCACTTGTAATCTTTGTACTCTCTAACTGTTCGAGAAGACTGATAGAAAGAATATCAAAACATGGAAATTGATCATCTTGATTTCAACAATTATGAGATTGACAAATAAAAAAGGATTTCAAGCCTTACAAATGCTCTTAACATGTTTTGTGAACAATCTACATCAAGTATTCATAATCATTTTTAAAGCTTCAAAATCTGTAATTCGGCGAGAAATAAAATTTTAAGCTATGGAGCCTTCATATGTGATTTCAATAAGTATCATAGGTCTCGTCGGGCTCTCGGCCCTACCGAACCGCACCGTGAAAAGCATCAAAGCTGTTTAAACTGAAAGTATACACCATCGTTGCATTTAATAAAGAAAGTTTTCATGGTACAAGAAATAAGGCAAAAATTTGAACTACCATTTATTAGATGCCACTACCACAAATTATACGTTTCTCTTTATGAGCTCAAAATTTGAATGAAATGAATGGCTCATACTTATGGTTCTCAATTAAAAAAACAAGAGATGAGGTAGCCTAAGGAATTCAATGTAATCAAATGCCCACACTTATGGGGGTAGAGAGAGAGAGAGAGCAAAACTTAGAGCCCCAAGGGTCTAATCAACAATGAATGGGAGACACCCAATTTTGAGTCGCCCAATTCATTGATCACGAAAAAGAGAGAGAGATCAAAAAACCATCTTAGACTAGTGTTTGCATCATTAGTGCCCCTTGGAGTTTTCTCTATGTGATTGAGCAGGCCTTCTAACAAATCGCCCCTGCACCAAGAAAACATACATCTTAGAGATTCCTATCGACAATCAAACTAATTAAGTACAAACTTAAATAAAATAATTATACATACAAAACACAAACTTAAATGAAATAATCAAACATATAAACTAATTAAATGCATGTATAATCTAGTTAAACATATAACTTTTTTAAAAATAAATCTCATTGTAGGAGCATTTCAAGGACCCCAAATTTTCAGGATGGAAAATTTCAATTTCATTTTCCATAAGCCCGCCCGAAAAGTAAATTCCTAAAATCGAATATAGACCGCCAAATATTTTGATAGCCCCATCTAAGTACTCAAAATCTATCTTTTTTTTTTTTAATAATTATCTAGTAATTCTTGAGTGGATCTCAATTTCATATCTATAATCTCCTAAGTACCCCAAAAGAAAAAACGCCCAACTTTTTCATCCGAGGGAGTAAGTGAACAATATATTCTCGCGTGGGAACATACCATGAAGATTATTAAACTAGGGAAATAAATATTCCAAGTGCACATTTATAGCGGTAGATGTTTAAGAATTTGAGGTGAATACATTAATCAATATGACAATTTTACCTTCTTCTACAAGGTGATCAACAAAAGAACGGTGAATTACTTAACGGGGATTTTTAAGAAAGTGTTTGAGAGAATTTTTTTTGCTAAATGAGACAGGCAAATATCATTCAATTTAGTATTATGTCAAATTCATGATTAGTTTTTTTTTCGTTTTTTTCAAATTCTAAACTAAAAATATTAGTAGTCCCTACATATAGCTAGTGCGCCCAACAAACTACAGTTCGAAAACAACAAACAATGATCAGCATGAAAGCCATTAGGCTAACCCGTATCTATTTTCTTGTTTGTCTTTGCTGGCTTGAAAGCCTGCTTATTAGCACAAGTAGTTTTCTTCGTAACTAGTGCATCCAACAAACTACAGCTTGAAAGTAATAAGCAACATCATAAATTTTTTTTTTTCAAACTATCCCTTATCGTGTTTGATAAACCCATGACATGTACTAAGCAAAATAGCAAAAATATAAGGAACTCAAATGCATGCAAGAAAAAAATCAAACCGGAATATTTTTTATTTGAAAACGAGGACAAAAAAAATCACTTGAAAAGTGCATTTTTAGACATTCTCATAGGACAGGGTAACTTGCGATATTTAATATAATTCAGAGGGGCATCTTTGACATCTAACTAAACCAAGGGTTTATGAAATGGAGAGGTTCAATATGAGCCAGGCTTACTGAGCTTAAAATGAGCCATCCAAGCTGGACTGTTGTTTTGAGTGGGATATGGTTCAGGTCGTCAGAAAGGGCCAACAAAAGGAGAAAAAAAAGGGGACCCACTGATTTGATGGTCCAGATCATTCACACCCAAACAATGATGGTTCTGATCATCCAGGCTCATTAGATTCCAATGATCCCTGCTCATCAAGTATTAGACCAGCTCTATTCCATCCAAGGAAAGACCAAATTACCCCTCGGGGCCTTTTTTTTTTTTTTTGACAAATACCCTGGGGTCCTTTTTTTTTTGACAAATAACCCTGGGGTCCTTCAGTGTGCCAAAATAATAGAAAATGTGTAGACTAATTCATGATTTATTCATTTTCATTTGCCTGAAACAATGTTTTCTTTCGCCTTTGCACCCTATAATGCTTCGGTACTCTTACTAATTCTATCCTATTTTCATTTTTTTTCTGAAATCACAGTACCATTTCTTTGCACCATACCCAAGGTTATGGAGCCTTCATATGTTTTTATGAAAAAATGAAAACTAAGCAATATGAGAAACTCTGATTGAAATGATGAGTAGCCCAGGTAAGTAAATGGTTCAATCTCCAAAATTGTCTAAAAAACTGTGGTCTTTTCTTTTCTGATTTGTTGTTTTCAATATTATGTACCTATGATTGTTTTTCTTTCATTATGTATGGGCAGCCAGGACAGAACAGTAGTTTCAAAATTCACAAACAAAAAATTCAAAAACAAAATTTTTTTTGAGGGATTTTAGAAGTTTCATGAAAATTTATAATTGATGCAATATAAATATATCTTATTCACACTTTTAAGCTACAAAAGATTATCAGGCTCATAACTGCCTTAAAAAAGGCAAAAGATAGTTTTTTTTTTCCCTTGGATTCAGGTGGTCTCATACAGAGATTATGAAACTTGAAAACAAGAACAAAAAGAAGGATTTGCTTATATAGTTTATAAAACTAGTTATTCTTGGATATTTTGGCCATACCATGTAATATAACAGATCAAAAAGTTATGAAACTTGAAAACAAGAACAAAAAGAAGGATTAACTTGGATTCAGTTTATTTTTCCTTGGATTCAGGTGGTCTTATACAGAGATTATGAAACTTGAAAACAAGAACAAAAAGAAGGATTTGCTTAAATAGTTTATAAACTAGCTATTCTTCGATATTTTGGCCATACCATGTAATATAACAGATCGAAAAGTTCAGGAAGCCTCATTTGGACTACTTGCCTTCATTCTGGGTCTTCTATCCGCATTCACTTTGCGAACTTCATAGCGTATTTTCTTGGAGAAGAGCCTTGTTCTCCTCTTCTCCTTGTATCTCATGACGCTCGCCTCTCTCATGCTCCCACCCTCTTCACTCAACTGCCTCCAATTCCCCAACTCTGGGAACACATCAAACTGCGTGAGCCTGGCCTGCCACAGTAGAGACGTTAATCAACAAAACCAAAATCTGCTCCTTCTCTCCCTCACACATGTAGATAGATGAACAGACAGACATATAAATAAATACATAGATACAATCACATAGACAAACACACAAGCATGCACACCTGCTTTAGTCCGCAACGAGGTCCAAGAACCAGTTCAGAATTCAGGGGTGCCATCATGATAAATTTGTGTTGAGGGATTCACATGGTTGAAGGTTTACTCATAAATTTACTTATTGATTCTACAACAACTAAATCTAGCAATATTAATCTTTAACAGCATATATACCAACATATTTTAGCTATAAAACTCTCAAGTACATCTAATGGTAGTTTACATGCAACTTATGACTTAATTGGTAATTTTTTTGCTTCTCCTGTTGGGTCTATTTCATTTGTTCATCCTGATAAACTTTGCTCCAGCTAAAACCATCTAATCTAAACTAACCTACCAAAACTGCAGCTAATATAATCAATACTGATAATATGATTAACTCATATTAGATCTATGACTTCTATATTCTCTAAATTACATTATACCTCTCTTTAAACTTTGGTCCATCTAAACCCGTCTAACTCATATTTCGCCCTGTTCCCTTAGATTTCTCTTTCCCTGTGAGTCTATTTCATTAGTTCCTCAGATTACAATATAGCTACATCAGTTCAATTATTCTTGAAATGAAACTCAACATGACTAATGCTCTCTCTCTCTCTCTTGACACACACCCACACACGCACATGCACACCAAGAGGGGTGTTTAAGATAAAAGGGCATACAAGTGCATCGGCAGATGTTGGCAACTCAGCATTTGCAGCTTCGGCCCTTTGTTCATCAGCATAGAGTGGCGCCTGGTCTGACCATGTGTTCAACACATCCTCATGGTTTAACTTTAACCACAGCCTCGATTGGCTCTCATCCCTCTTAACCCACTCCAATGAACTAAAAGACAATGCACTCATCTCTTGATCTGCCATTATCTTATCAACTAGTCTCTGCCTAGGCGCAAAATGGTAGAATTCCACTCCATTTCCACGCCTAAGAGGTGCCGCATTCATCTTCCCCTCAAACCAGTCAGACCAACTTGGATTATACCACCCAAACTGCGCCACTTGATTGTTGTAGCTAGTAAACCACTTAGAATTGCAGTTTTCGTCTCTGTCTTCATCTTCATAGTGAGATAGGGCTTCTCCCAATATACTATCGATCCCACACCCCAATTCCTCATCCAAGAGAGATTCAGTATCAAAATCTCCTTCAAAGTGCGATTCACTGTGAGAATTCAACAAGCTCTTGGGCTCAGGGACAGTAGGGCATATGGGTTCGGGATCTGAACCAACTGACATTGGGGAATCAACTGAAGAATTGTGGTTCGGGGTGAAATTGCACTCAAACCCCGAGCTAGCTGGGTTTGGGCATGGACTTAGGGCATCGGGTTCAGGTGGGTTAGGTGTCAAGAGGATGAAGCATGAATCAGAGAAGGGTCGAGGGCTTGGCTCATCTAGCAATTCAGAGTCTTTAGTCTCTAAGATAACCAATGGCCTATTGGGTTGTTTGCAAAGCTTGGGGAGTCGATGAGCTTGGGGAGAGAAGATGGCTGGATATGCAGTAGAGAGAAGCACAGCTGCCTCATTGTATATCTGGTTAGGCCTTTTTCGAGGGGTTCGAGACTTCTTTGTGGAGATGGTAAGGGAGGTAGCATTGTTAGAGTCTGAGAGCGTAGAGGAGGAGGATGAAGGGGATCTATGGTTTGAAGAAACTGGGGCTTTTGCGATGCTTTGTAGGGGAGATGGGCGCCCCCTTTCGAATCCATATGTTCGGCTGCCTCCACTTATGCAGGAAGACATCTAATGGGTTCTGTTAAAAATGGGTTTAGAGAGCCAAGTACAAGTTTGATATCACCATGGAACCACCACCAAAATACGTCCTATTACTATCAGATTTAACAAAATGGATCTAGAAAACCTATTAGTATCAGATTTAACAAAATGGATCTAGAAAACCAAGTATAGAAATGGTGACAACATCATAATAACCAATCTAGATCTCGAATTCAATCTACTTCAGTAATTCCTAGTGCCAGGAATATCAGAAACACCAAATGGTTTTTCAATTTCAAGTGCAAGGGTGCCAAATTCTCAAGATTTTTCTTTGAAGTGGAGTAGGCTAGTGATGGGAGCCGAACCTGGGAAGGGTACCGATTCTCAAGATAATAGAATTGAATTATGTGAAAGGGTCCACAGCCAGGTATAGGGAAAGTAACACTAGTAGAATCAGAATGAACCTCGAATTCACAGAGTTTCTATTGGCAGGAAATTCAGAATTTCAAATGGGTTTTCAAAACTAAGTAGCGAAAGGTATCAGAAAGAAAACCAGTTCTCAAACTAATAGTATTGAATTATGAGAAATAGCTTCATAACACCAAGCACAGGGAAGTAACACAAGTAGGGCCAGTGTGAATCTTGAATTCACCCAGCTTCTTCTTGGCATGAAATTCAGTATGCCCCAGGGTTTTACGAAGCCAATTTGAAGGATGGTGGGACCATTAAAACCAGCACCAGTTCTCAAAACAAGAGTATTAAATTGGGACAAATGAGCAAGTACAGGGGAACAAATACTAGTAGAACCAGAATGAATGTTGAATTAACCCAGCTTCTTGGCAAAAAAATTCAGTATTCTAAATGGGCTTTCAAAATTGAGAAGAGCATAGAAACCACAGTTGAAGAAAGTCTGAATCTTGAACCTTCACCGGATTCCGGCCAGGAAGAAAACCAGAAACTGCAGTTGGATCTACAAAACCAAACTCAAAGTAATAGCACAATGAAAAAGTACAGAACCAAACCTCGGGTTCTCAAGAAACCCAACATGGGGAATTAGAATAGACTTTGAAAGCTCAAATCTAAGGCTTCATGTTGCCAAAGAACATACAAGGGTCCACAAATTGAAAACTCAGATATCAGACTATTAAATTCAAACCAGCCCAAATGGGTGTCTAGAAAATGGGAACTCACTTTTAACATAAAAAACAAACCTAAAGAATGTTGGCTCTAAAGCACCAAAAATCTCACTCTACTTGTGAAGCATCTGATGCATCCCTAACAAATAGGCCTTGAAATTCCGCACTCAAGGTAGAGAAACAGGGGAGAGAAACCCAATACAAAGTGCACAAAAACAAACTGCCCAATAGAGTCCTTTGGCTCTAGAGAAAGACTCTTGGAACTGTAACACTTGTGGTGAGAACTGAGAAGTTAGAGAAAAATAATGCCAAATTGGGAATGAAATACATGGATTCAAAAGATTGGGTATGTTCACGGGGGGTGCAGTACAAAAAGGTCTGAATTTGCAGGGAAATGCCGCATTAAATAGTATAATTCATATTCTTATTACTGTTATTTATCTGATTTTATCATTTATTTTTTTCTGCCTTCTCTTTCTTGAAAGAATCAAAGGGAAAGGCAGACAGGAGAAGTGACAAAGCTGGCTTCATCGGTTGGGTTTGTGGAAGCTCGCAGGGACCACTTAGTTGCTAGGCCTCTTGGACTGGTTATGCATGCATCTGTATCATGGGAAAAGTGCACCATTTTTTTTGGTAGTAGAAAGGAAAGTTACAGATCTATCCCCAACCTGCCTAAGATATTACAAGCCTATCCTTTGCGTTGTTAAGAGGATGGACATTCGGTTTGCTATTTTTCAGTAAACTAATGGTGATCTCTATTTCCTTGAGAACCAAACCCAAATAATGAAGATAAAGCTGGAATGAAGATGATAATTTCTATTTTTTTAAAGATTTTTTTTATTTTTTATTTTTTTTTATTTTTTTTTCTGTAAATGAGTATTCTATGGTTTTATAAAGTGGTTCTACTGTAAAAAAAAAAAAAAAAACTCTAAAAGTAAGTTTTTCTTGACCTTGATAATGATGGACTAAGCCCTAAAAAATGGTTCTTGTGCAACACATTTTGGGAACATTTCTTTTAAGTAATCACTGATCCGCTGTTTCGGCACTATTTTGAACTCTAGGTTGATCATGGTCATTATCATAATCACTCGAGCCTTATCCCAACTAATTAGGGTCGGCTATACGAATATTGATCCACCATTGCAATTTATCAAGTCGATAAAAAAGATGTAGTAAAAATTTTCCACCACCTGCCAACATAACACAACTCTCAACCTTTCTCCGAGCTTGGGGCAGGCATGACCCGCTTGAGAAAACCTGGCAGAGTTAGTTTTGCATGCCATCACAAGGGTCTCCCAGGCCAAAATTGTACATTGAGTGAGGTTTTGAGCAGTGGTTTTACCAAATAGAGTAAAGCGGCGGTCCACACCTCCATCTTTTTGGGGGATTTTTCCTTTTCATGAGAGGGAACACCTCGCCCAAGCCGTCGGATGTGAACTGGGGACGGCAAACGGCTGGCATGATGCACTTTCTCCTGCTCAGTATTTCAAAATTTGGATGGTTGGGTTGAATTGTTCATCCACAAATATGTGTCACGTCGTTGGATCGGTATCAGTCTAAATTATTGATCTAAAAAATATTAAAAAATAACTAAATATTATAATAAAAGTTAATAGGGTGGAGATTTAAAATGACCTAACCAAATATTAGAAAAGCTTAAAAAAAAGCAAAAATCATACAAAAGGGGTTTTCTGGGGTAGCCAAGCCGAGACCAAACCATCCCATAACTTATTCAGTCCCAACCAATTCTCATTCGAATTGGCGATCCAGATCGAAAATGACATAAGTTAAAGATTGTCCTGCTTCTTTAACTATGCTTGTTTAAATTCTTTGTAAATTTTCACAAGTTTCTTATAATTTCACCACATTTTTTTGAGGAAAAGAATCTTTCTAAATTTTTTATGAAATCATCTGTATCCAACATTTTTCAGTGACATATCTGTTTAGATGGTATACCATGGCCAACAAAACCAATGATTTAAATATCGTCAAGCCCATTTAAAATCGCTCAAGTTGATTGGACCAAGGGGACTATGAAACGAATAACTTATGGTCGCTGAACCTCCTAAAAATTTTTAAAATCTTTCAATTTTCTTATTAAAAACTGCCTATCCAAATTGGACTTTTGCTCAATTCGAAACGGGGTACTCTAAATAAGCCAATTCTCCTTGTACGTCCAACGATCAAATTGAATTTAAATTACTTAGAAGGCCGCAATTAAATTTCATATTACACAAATTGAACCAGGGCAGTTGGACGGTCACAATTAAATTTTTTATTTTTACAAAACTTCTTCACATAAGATTTAGAGCATCTGTGCATCATACTAGGGTACAACCAATAAAAATAAAAATATTTTAAATAAATATTAACCTATATATTTTTAATCTTTCAAAGGTATTTTGATCAATTTTCTAATTTGAATTAATTTTTTATTGACGCCTAGTTCGATGCATGGACATTCCAAATTCTAAAAAAAATAATTAAAATTTTAAAATAAATTAGACGGATTCAATCAGAACTGATGAGCTGATAGCATCAGCAATCAAAACTATCTAAATTCAAACACTAATGAATTGTCGCTACTGAAACAACAGCAAATATCTACAAAGTTAACTTTTCCAAAAGAAAAAAGAAAAAACATGCACCCTTTTTTTTTTTTTTTTGGAAAAGAGAAAACAAGTTTTTTTTTTTCTTTGATTAAATATTTAACTTACTCAAAAGGGCCCTATAACAAAGGGCATTACAGTCAATATGCCAATGCCCATCCATTATAGTAAATTAGACAATCATGGCCCATACCCCCTGCAATATAAGCCCATTTGGGGAGCTAAGGGTGTGGATTTGATATCTGCTTACGTGTCAAATCGTTATTGGTTAGCTTCGATTTTTAGACTGACGTGGCTTGCGCTTTATTGGATGGCGGAGTTTTCACGTGAGCCTAGGAAGAATACGAAGAGAGAGAAAGAGAGGACAGTTTAGAGAGAGAAAGAGAAGGCAGTTTTCATGGTTTGGAGTTGTGTTGTGTGGCCTACGAGTGTAATACGTTGTGCACTTTGGCATCAATCCCTGATGATGAGACCAAAACCTAGTGAGGGGAGGGGATAATCAATCGATTGCTCTCAAAATGATAAGCATTTCCAGATTTTTGAGTGAGAAAGTCTGTCTTTTTTTTTTTGTCTTTCTCCATCCTTTATTCTTTCTCTCTCAATCTTGTTTTCTCCATTTTTTTTTCAACCAACTCGATGTTTTTACTCTCTCTCTCTCCAAGTAAAATTCCATGGAAATACCTCTCTCCCTTCTCTATCTCTCTCCAAGTAATATTTCTCTCCCTTCTCTATCGCTCTCCAAGTAATATTTCACTAGGGTATAATGGTTTCTCAAAATTCCATGGAAATACTCTCCGTTCTTCTTCCCCTCTCTCTCTCTCTCCTCCCCCACAAGTAATATTTCATTTGGGTATTAGGGATTTCTCTAACATTTCATGGAAATACCTCTCTCCTTTTCTCTCTCTCTCTCTCCAAGTAATATTTCATTTGGGTATATAATGATTTCTCAAAATTCCATGGAAATACTCTCCCTTCTTCTCTCTCTCTCTCTCTACATGTAGCTCTAGGGCATGGCTTTCTAAGTTTGAACACAAAAAATAGTGATTGAGACCCCCTTATTTTCCATGATTGATTTTTGCCTTTTCCAACCTCTAACTTTCTTAAGTTATACTTTTCTAGGTTTTTGCTAGAAAGTAGTTCAAGTGGTGTTCTCCATCACCTTTTCTAGTGTTTCTTGTAGGGATGTCTTCCTCAGCTTTCACTCATATCTAAGAAAAGAAACCTTTTCCCTTTGACATTATCAATTTGCAGAAGAAACGAGAGGATTTCTCTTTTGTAGCTCCTCTAAATTATGCCCTTCTCTCTCTATCCCATAATCTCTCTCTCTCTCTAAATTACCTCAAAAAAATTATCTCTAGGTAATTTTTGAAAATATCTTTTTCTAGGGTTTTGGTTAAAAGGAAGTATCCTAGGAAAATATCCTTTTCGTGTCATGGGGTGGAGAGATATTTTTATATTTTTTATTTAGAGAGAGAAAGATATATATAGAGAGAGAGAGGGGATGAGGCAGAGATATCCTTGGCCTTGTGATGTAGATAAAATGATATGAGGAGGACCACCGCCCGGACACTGGTTACGTCAGTCGAATACGTGTCAGGTTACAAATACTTACTTAGCCACACGACCAAGTGTAGTCTATCTCTCTCTAAATGATTTAGCCACATGACCAAGACTAATCTCCCTCTCTCTCTACATGGACCCATACTCCTTTTAACGGCGATCCTGGTCTCTCCACGATATCCTCTCTCTCTCTCTCTCTCTCTAGAGCCTCCCTAAGTATTCTA